CACCCGATTTCTGTAAGATAACGTTTGGAATTATTATCCCATTTACGTTTGTCTGTTCCGAACTCTACCCTTAAAATTTTTAAAATTTTCCAACCAAAGTGTTGTGTGTATTTCTTATATCTCCATTCATTCCACATGCTCCGCCCATCTCATCTTTAAGATTTTATTACCCTAATAAAATTTGAGTAGCCACGGTGGTCTAGCGGTTAGAACGCTGTCCTTGTAATCCTGGGGTCTCGGGTTCGATTCCCGGCGGTGCTCGAATTTATAACGTGTGTTGGGCAACACGGAGTTTTCCTCCGGGGTCTTCCCCGGTTTCTCCGTGGCATCCCAATAATTACTCCATTCACACACAGAAGAAGGCAATGGCAAACCACTTCTGGATCATCTGCCAAGAACGTATATGAACAGGTCCCAGTCCGAGAAAAGGATGGAAGGATCCTGTTCATATGGACCTGTCGTCAGACAGAACACTAAATAAATAAATAAATAAAATAGGTCATTACTACGTTAACGTGACCTCAGGTAATTGTTGCGTCTTGGGTCACTCTCGCACAGATGTTTTCCCAGGTAATCGTTGCACAGCAGTGTGAACCCTTGGACCCCATTTTTGGGCAAAAAGTGTCTGTCCCATCGAATAATTACGGAACGGGTCCATATGGTATTGTTCGCTTGCCTGAAAGCGTGAAGAACCTTTTTTTGTCTGTGAAACGTACGTAAGTGTCTACAGGGAAATGGGGGCAATTGATTTGACCATCCTATATATACTACGGTACGTTATCAGAAACCAAGGAACTAAAAACAAATTGAGATAGGAAACTTCCTCTATTCCAAGGATACTTCCGACTTTCTCTGAAAATGAAGAAATATGATGTAATAATATCATCATCTTGTTTCTTCTATGAAACACTAAATCGCCAGCTGACGTTTCAATGGCTGGATTAAGAAGCACCGTGCAATCGTCTTCCGTATTCGTTCTCTATCTAAAATAGGATGTAAAGCTTTCACTGTAGGTAGCGGTACATGAACTTTAAATTTATCATCTTACCCGTGCATGCTACATGTCTGTCCTTCTCAACCTCTCTTGTTTTATCATCGTAATAACATGTGTGTGGTGAAGAGTTTAAATTATGAAGCTCTGATACTGGGAATTGTATTAATGTTAAATATTTTGTAGTTTTGGAGACGCGTGTAGCTACCACATCTGAAAGTAAAACCACACGACGCCTGTGGAAACAGCGTTACACGGGAATATTGAGTCCTGTTAGTGAACTGCTTACAGTGTGCTGAAAATAGGCAACAAGTCCTTGATTTTTAAAGTTGTAAGATAGTTAAGACTTTAAACAACAGACGATGGATTAAGTTCAAGGCAAGGAAAGTTGTACTATAATACCATTGCCAAAGACATTCGGGAAAGTCCTTGAAATGTTTCATCCAACACGACCTCACGCATTTACCCGTGTCTTAACTTATAACTGAAGCACATCGGGTTTGAGATCTTCCTACCCCAGCCTGATTAGATCAAGTAACTTCAATGTGTATAAGGTTATAGAGAGACTCCCTAGATGATGGATCTGCTAGATCTTATTATACGTTCTTTACCCATATATTAAATATTCCTAAATGTCTAATTTTTCACTATAAACAATTCGAAAAGCAATCCTGTCCAATTACTCTTGTTTTAGGTTAATAAACGATATAAAATCGGTTGGGCATATTTGTTTATCCGTTGACATAATACCGGGAACTTGTGTTTAATTTCCTCCCTGATGCAGACGTGAATAAGTTACCGGAAAGGAGCAGGCGAGTGATTATGATCGTGTTATATATTTCACGTTATTACTCTCTTTTTGTTGCCGACGTTGGATTACGTACTTGTCCGTGGAACTAGGAGAAAGTGCTGTTACCTAACGGACGAGTTCCTTGCGGTTACGCCACCGGAAGCACGACGAAGCGATCGAATGGCAATGTTCTTTATCGCTCGTTCTTTTCATCGCGGTCTGCACGTGTTTACAAAGGCTTCGGACCATCATGTCTCGTTGAATTCTAGTTTGTTTGCGTCACATTTTCCACAATTGCAGGTAGCCACGCCCTTAATCCTCTGTAGCCGAAGTTCGTCTAAATACTTAAGAATTCAGACCTTGCCACAAATAAAACACTTAATCATTACAAATATTAATAAATAAATCAATTAATTAACGCTATTTCCGGAAATAATCGCTGTTTACATTGACAATCATACAAAATCATAAACACGCAATGAATATTGATTGATTGATTGTTGAAGCAGGTTGGCATTGGTGTTTAAAGAGCAAAGCTGTTTGCAAATATCGCGGCTCACTGCTTGTGACGGGTTTCATTTAATGAAATAACTAACTCTTGTAGGGGTAAGTATGTATACCACCTGTTGTAACGCTCAGTAACTCGGGAAGTTGCTCACACAGCGTATTTAAGATTTTTATTGGATTGCAAGAAAGCAGTGAGTTTCCCGAAACTAAACACACGAATTGTTTAATGTTGTGTACAGTAGCTTTAGTCTTTAAATGATTAGGGTGTCCACTTAACAGGCGTTCTTTTTTCAAAACAGCAGTTGCCCCAGTGTGGTTGATCTCACCATAAAACTACGTGTCATGACACAGCTACATGTTGCTATCTATCATGGACTCGAATACAAAGCTCTGCGATTCTAAATTTATATCTGAGTTAAGTAAATAATCGAATTTTTATCTGGCCTCGAAATTAGTCCTCGGTTTCAACATTGTAACAGTCGGTTATTTTCTTTAAACTGTTTTCGTTCAAGTCTTCCTGAAGACAAAACGTTGTTCTGGATGCGTAATGTTCTTCATTTTCCTGACATGATCAAACCACTTTTGTTTAGACTGCGCCAAAACTTCTTTGATGTTGGCTTAGTGTTTAGTTATTCTGAAACATATGTAATCGGTACCAACCGACTTTTTTCTAATGCCCGGATTTTATCCCAAATCCTGGGAGAATTAAAATATATACTTCTGGGTGCCATCCCATCACTCACAAGTGATGGGATGGCTAAATATTCGTCATTTTAGTGGAGATTGTCTTCGAAATAAATCTGGTTTGAAAATAATGTTCTTAATCCTTTATATCATTTTCCTCTACATATGAAATTTTGCATCTGGAATATGTGAATGCATTTACTGGTTTAATTTTTGGTCTGATATTTGTTTGTCGTTATAATAACGTTCATTAAAATGACGTAGTAACAAGCAAGTTTTTCTTTGCTTATACGCCACGCTGCGAAGCATGGGGGTAAAGATCCTCGAATTATCTAACTCAGTGCTAGGATAAACCAGCTTCAACTGTCTTACGTCCAAAAACAAACAAAAGTTTGGGTCAGCTCCGAAATCGTTCCGGTCGCAATGGTGATGAAGTGCAAATAGAAATGCGTGCCTCTGGGATCCAATCTCGACCGTCCAGTGGCTCCAGCATTGATGGTGAGGGGGGTTACGTAGAAAGTCATATAGTGTTTCGGGCTAAAGGCGACTTGGTATTATGCAACACTTTAAGAAAGTTATCGTAAGCTTGAAGGCTGGATGGTTGGATGGTTTGTCTCTCGGTTAATCTGCTCTGCACCCAGTGCCGAGGTCGGAGACCGTGAGTTGGCCTGCCTCAAGGCTCAAGTAAGCGTTGGAAGTTCACGATTAGGTAACTTTATGTCACTTCCTGCTTAACAGCTAGAAACGAATAAATGGGGTCCTAGAAATCGGAGAGTTTTCCAAAAAATGTTGCTGGGCTATTTACGGAATTCAATCAACAGATCAGGCTAAAAACGCAAAGTCCGGAACAGTGGGACTGCAACAGAAATTGCCGAAGACGATGTAAGAGCAAAAGGAAATGTATACGTGTACTTAGTTAAACATTTGAAGCCGAGGGGCTCATGCAAGAAGTAGTCCGTACCGCAAAGAAAACAAAGATCAATTTCTTAGTGCTATTTTCGGAAATAATCGATGTCTACATTAAAAATCATAAACAAAAAAGCATGGTTAGTAGCTGTTAAAGTATGTGGCTGGAGGTGAGTGTTTAACATCGCGCTGCGGCCGGTTTTACCTCGAAGAAATAGCTATGGGATAGACGAACGGAGGAAAGTACCCATGCTGAGAATTATCCATCGGCAAACATTGCTTTTGCCATCTTCAGGGTGAAGAAAGAATTGCAATGTTTGCCGAAACGTTGGATAATTTTCAATGTTTGACCCGGCCCATCCCAGAAAGCCGAGGGGGCACGATGTAAGAGGAGCTGAACGTTCGAGTCCTGCGGCGTGTTCAACACGCGACGGACGATACGCCGTCGAGCTATTTGCGTTCCGACCCCATCCCACCACTTTCTAATGTCCTCGCATGGCAGAAATAGAAAACGCGTTCCACACGCTGCGTGACCTCACACCACGTCT